AGACAATTAAGAATGGGAACTATGGATATTATTAGCAGATAAGGTATCCGAGAGAGATCAGATAAGATTAAAGCATCAACTCAAAACACAGCCCAGGTGCCTTCCCCAGCCTTGGCACCACTTCCTGTTGATGCTTCCTCAAAAATGTCCTCTCTGTCCACACTGCTTCACTTCAATGCCCTGAGTTACTGCTTCCTTTGCCACCTCATGGGTTTGTTCAAGTGACTCTGCAGCCAGAGAATTATTCAAAAGATTAAGCAGTACAGTGTCAGGGAAACCCTTGACTCCGTGCACAACGACACTTGTCATTAAGCTACAGATGGACAATTAAGGTAACCAAACCAAACCATAATCATTGGCCTCGAGTCGATTCCAACTCATAGCAACCGCCAAAGCATTTTCCAAGCTGTAAATCTTTTGGAAGCAGACTGCCTCATCTTTCTTCTGCAGAGCAGCTGGTGGGTTGGAACCACCAACCTTATGCTTAGCAGCCAAATGCCTTCACCACTGCACCCCTAGAGGTCCTTACGATTAAGGCTGTTGTTGCTGTTAGGTGCCGTCGAGTTGGCTCCTATGTGAAACAGAACGAAACGCTGCCCGGTCCTGTGCCAGCCTCACAATCCTTGCTGTGCTTGAGCCCACTGCTGCAACCACGGTGCCAATCCATCTCATGGTCTTCCCCTTTTTTTCTGACCCTCAACTTTACCAAACATGATATCCTTCCCCAAGGACTCAGCCCTTCTGACAACATGACCAAAGTAGGTAAGACGAAGTCTGGCCATTCTTGCTTCCAGGAGCATTCCGGCTGCACTTCTTCCAGGACAGATTGATTAAGATGTGATTCAGTGATTCAGATTAACCCCTATATTCTCAAATCCTCCACCTCTTCTAAAATTAATAAAAAGAACAATAATAATTTCACTAATGGCCTGTTTGCCAGGTGCTGTTCTAACTACTTTCCAGAACCACCCTATGAGGCAGATAATTATTCTAAAAATGAAATGGTGCAGTGCAGTGAATTGCTTAATATGGCCCTTGTAGCCATCATCCTCCAGTTTGTGATGGATTGTAAATCCTCATCTCCATGCCTGTTTAGGGTGGAATGCATCTTGAGTTCCGCCTTGCTGAAAGGTGTGACTTAAACCACCACCCATTTTGTGACGTGTTGTAAATCCTAATCTCTAGGCCTGTTTTAAGGAGCTCTAGTAGCATAGTAGGAGCTCTGGTAGCATAGTGCCTAAGGCACTTGACTGCTCACCAGAAGGC